TCTGTCTCTACAAATAATTTTTGAAAAATTAGCCAAGTGTGGTGGCATGACCCCGTGGTCGCAGCTACTCAAGAAGCTGAGGCAGGAGGATCGCCTGAGCCTGGTGGTTGAGGCTACAGTGCACCGTGATTGTGCCACTGCACTCCAGTCTGGGCAACAGCATGAGACCCAGTCTCAAGAAATAAATAAATAAAATAAAATAAGGAGCTTGAAAAGAGAAAAATGTGAAAGATACTGAGGGAGATGTAAAAGACCTACAACATCATCTAGGAATAAGAGCAACCCAGGGGTTACGTGAGACTCCCTGCAATGAACTAAACAGAAAGAAGATGCAGCATGACCCACACCAATGTGTAATCACTGGCAGGCAGCAGCTTCCAATCTAAAAAGCAAAAGCTGTGCTTTTTAAAAATGTGACTTTATTACAGTGGAGATGCAAATGAGCCTCAATCTATTTGCTCTTCAAAAGGTATTCTTGAGCACTATATGAAAGTAACATATTTACTACCAATTGTTCTTATTTGAAGAAAAATTCCTGTGTTTTCAGTTAAAAAGATAAGTTTAGTCTAATATATACACAACAGAAGGTTATTAAACAGGATATGCTGCCATTTGCAACAGCATGCCTTCCATGGATAAACATGGAGGATGTCATGCTAAGTGGAATACACCAGACACAGAAAGAAAAGTACTGCAGGGTCTCTCTTATATGTGGAATATTTTAAAAAGCAAAATACATAGAAATAGAGATTAGAACAGTGGGTATCAGGGACAGGGAGCGGGAGGAAATCAGGAGCTGTAAGTCAAAAGGTACAAATCTGCAGGTAGGTAGGATGAATAAGTCTAGTATACAGGAGGAAGACTATATATAGTTAATAATATTGCATTCTATATTGAAAATTTGTGAAGAGAGTAGATTTTAGGTGCTCTTATAACAACAAAAAAGAGGGAACTATGGAAAGTGATGGATATGTTAATTTCCTTAACTATAGCAATCATTTCACTATGTGCACATAATATCAAAACATCATGTTGTGTATCTTAGTATATACAATTAAAAATCATTTTTTAGGCCAAGCATGGTGGCTCACGCCTGTAATCCCAGCACTTTGGGAGGCCAAGGCAAGCCGATCACTTGAAGTGAGGAGTTCAAGACCAGCCTGGCCAACATGGTGAAACCCCGTCTCCACTAAAAATACAAAAATTAGCCAGGTGTGGTGATGTGCACCTGTAGTCCCAGCTACTCAGGAGACTGAGGCAGGAGAATCGCTTGAACCTGGGAGGCAGAAGTTGCAGTGAGCCAAGATCACACCACTGCACTCCAGCCTGGGCGACAAAGTGAGACCCTGTCCCAAGAAATCATAATAATTTTTTTATAAAAAGAAAATAAGGTTTCAGTGAGATCAATACAATGAAACACTATCTGTCCACTCTCTGAGTGACCGGGCAATTTACATGATCTCTCAGAATCTCCCTTTTATCATCTTTAAAATGTTGAGAATATTATTATCAACCTCTTAGGGTTGTTGAAAATTTAGAAGAGTAAATTCCTGGAAAGAATTTAAAAGACTGTCCTACACAGTAAGTCTGCAATAAACATCAGTCAGTAGTAATAGAGGTAGTACTGGTAGCAGCAGCAGTAGCAGCTGCAGCAGCAAAGCTCTGTACTGTAACTATGGCCAAATCTGTTCTAAGTCCAAAAGAGTCAGGCGGATTGCACACAACATCTTCACATGGCACTGTTACTGTGCTCAAAAGATTTGATCTCTCATACTTAAGAGTCTGAAGGCAACCTGTTTCTTTGACTTGAAGTTGGATGAAAAACATAGATTGTATTGATGACATGTTACATACTTATGGGTTAGCCCAAGAAAGGCCAGGTAACACCTAGTTTCCCTAAATAAGAAGAAATTTATAAGGGGATCTCCAAGCCTAGTAACAGTGCCAGAAAGCATGCATTCTGAGGGCCAAAGTCTGCATTTTGAAGGCCAAGATCTGTGTGCTAAGGGCCCTGGGAACCGCTGAGGCTGCCAAAATTGCTGCATTAGCCAAAAGCTTTGCTGTCCAGCTGAGCCAACTCTTGGCTAAACCACCAAAGAAGAAAAGAAATTGGGTCTCCAAGGCCATTGCATTGGTCCTTATAATTAAAGTGTAAACTCAAAACCTTTAGCCAGGTTTTGGACTTACACTTTAATTATTTTTCTTTAAGGGGGAAATTAATGGACACATAAAAAATTTAAAACACGATAAAAACCTACAAAGTTGGCTTACAAAACTGAGTATTTTTATTGCCCACCAATGGAAATGATGGCTGTGTTTCAGTAGAACTTACACATAAATACTGAAATTTGAATTTCATATAATTTTTACCTGTCATGAAACATTCTTCTTCTTTGGATTTTTTCCCCAATCACTTAAAGGTTTAAAAACCAATCTTAGTTGAAGAGCCATGCAGAAACAGGTGGCAGGCTAGATTTGGCAGATGGGTCATAGTTTTGG